TTCTTTGTGCCTCGGGCGAGAGTCAGTTTAACTTGAAGTTCAGATGGAGTGTCGGATTACTCCGTAGTGCGCTCCACTTCCAGGCTCAGCGCACCCTACACTTTGTTCGGAGGTATTTCTTTTCTCACCCCATGTGATGAAAGACGCACTAAGACGCCATTTGTATTTGTGGGGTGGTTATAAGTGAGCAATCCAGTTCTAATGGGGGGGGAACTGGGAAAGAGAAAGTGTGAAAACGGCTGGTGAACCTAGCTGGGGTCGACAGAGACTGAAAGATGCCGGCGGTATATGAAAGCTGATTATATAGTCATGTCATGGTAAAAATAAAAAGGCGAGGGTTTAATACAGGGTCAAGAAGGATTCAGTTAACTAGGTACTTAGTTAGTATTAAAAATATTTGATGATGAAATATCAAATATTGAACAAACAAACAAAAAGGCGCACTACGGACAGGGAGATAAATGTGATCGGGGTGGAGTGCCCTTAGGCTGCGGGGAGAAAATAAGTGAGAACATAGGTAAAAAAAAAAAAAAAAGAAAAAAAGAAAAGAAAAGAAAAGAAAAAAAGACCCTAGTTTGCGCGCATGTAACGGTGTAACGGGGAGCGATGGAAGTACTTTCGGCCGGAAGATCGTTCGTTAGGTCAGGTAGGGGAAGGGGGCGGGGGACGGGGGGCGGGGGGGAGGAAGATTCGCATGGATGATAAGCATAAGAGAAAAAAGACGGTGTATAAAACTGTTTTTTTTATATGGCTGTCGACCTTTTTTTCACTCCGCTCTTCTCGATCTGGAGAGGCCGGTTGACTCATTGAAAGAAATTATGGTATTTAGGGAGAGGAGAGATCCTTTGGCGTAGTAATTTAGTTTCCTTTTAGAAATTCTGGATGGATTGGAGGGGATTTGTTCATGATCGAAGGGGAAATAACTTTTTCACACGCATGCGGGGGACTAAGGCGGAGGAAAGGAGAGGAGAGAAAGAGAGCCAGTGGGAAGAGAAACGGAGCATGGGCAAAAAAAAGGGGGGGTGAAGAAGAAGATTTTATATATCAATAACCAGTGCTTTTGCTGTTCCAGCAAGGGATTATCAATTATTGGGAGATTGCTGTTATCTGGATACAGTGGAAAGAGAACAACAATTCTGTGATTTGATCTAAAGTTATTTAGTAGTTCCCCGAGTTTCTCCCTCAGGGCGAAGGACGGCCTGGACCGGGCGATTGAGGAGGGAAGGGGAGGGATGTTAGCAGAAAAAAAGAGAAGAAACAAAAGGATTGAATTTCCAGCCAAGGAAGAGGACGACAAACCTTTCCTAGTCTGGAGAAAGACAGCTCCATCTAATCCATGGATGTTGTCCTGCATGCAAATCACTCCACAATTATAGGCTAGGATAGTTACAGAGTAGTTACAGAGTACTCCGTAGAGCAAGAACGGATTGTGACAAACAAATTGTTACTAATTATGTCTCAATAGCAACTGGAGAGAGAGGGGTAAGAATGGCCTGAAAGAGGGGTAATTTATTATTAGAAAAAACTGGAGGTAAAAAATGTTGGTTAATTCGCCCGTGTTGGGGAAAATTAGTATTAATAGCAAATTTGTGATTGTTTGACAGAGGAGGATGCAGCGTCTTGCAGCTATTGGTTCAGGGCAATCGAGTTAAGAAAGAAATGTTGCACTAATTAATCAATAAGGCCGCGAGTTGGGCGGTTAAATGCTACTAAATAGGGAATATGTTATTCAGTTCAAGGCTAATTAGCTCCAGGAATTAGGCTCCGTAGGCTCCGTGTCACCAAACCAATAATAATAATAACAAGCCTAAACCTAACACTGCTAACAGGCCAACGACCCACGGACCACGCCACGGCCCACGGGTGACAATCGCCGGGGCCCCGCTCCCACTAGTTGCTACTAGCCTTGTTTGCTCTAGGATCAACTACATGATATGATATGCAACAATATTAAATGTCTGACAAATGTCACGTACGTCCGAGCTTGCGGGCTAACAGCGCCAAGTCAAGCCCTCGCAAGTCAAAGTGACCTGCTCCAGACGTCATTCGTCCTGCAGATTTCGTGCAAGATTGCGCCAACAGAGCAAGTACCCAATACTTCTCTCAACCTAACCTCGTCCCCATCCTTGCGGCTCCACCATCACCATCACCACCACCACCACCACCACCACCCATCCATGCACAGCAGCAACACAGGAATGCACAAGCTGCATCCTTGGCTGAAAAGTGGAACTACATCGACGGAGTAGTCTATCTAGCCACCGCCAAACTCTCCCTGGCGCTGCACAACACGGGATTATTTGGCTCAAGCTCGCCGATCGAATCGAGCGCCAAAGAGCACGGCTTGGCAATTTTTAGCTAAAGTACGCCGCTCTTAACACCAGAAATATTACTCCCGGATGACATGACGGTAATCTTGTGGTTACATTTTGTCCTTATAGGTGAGTGAGACTGGGGGAAAGGGGGAAATGGGAGAAAAGGGGGAAATGCGAACATGACGACATAGGTCCAAACAAACCCCGACATCCCATCCTTTTAGCTGAGTGAACCTCGTGATGTATTACATCCTATAGACTAGGCTGAGAGGGTACATCGGATACTTGCTGTTGAGTGGCTGGTAAACAATCCCAGGGCCAATTTCGTTTAGGGAGCCAATTCTCCAGTGGTTGGCCTACGCATTATCATCCGATTCTCTCCATCTCCAAACTATTGAAAAACTAAAATAGAAGCGAGAAGAATATATGTACGGAGTATCAGGAAAAACATATCTGCAAATCAACTTGGGATGTTTACTTTTCACAAGAATTACACTGTTACTTTCTTGTGTTAGCTAATATTCGCTGGAAGGAACATCTTGGTTTCGGGGGTGAGGGTGTGAGGGATGGTTCATGGAGATATAGTCTCTCCATTGCACGGGGGGTCCCTTTGTCTAGCATCAGATCATAATACGCTATTTTTATGTAAGTACCTAGGGAGCACAATTGATGCAACGCACTAACATCTTAAAATGATGCAGTAAATTCCTTTCCAGTTAAAGGATCAAGATATGTACTCCGTACAACACCCATACAGAGTAAAGCTTCCAGAAAAGAGAAACATAGGGCCGAAACGAATTCCTGGTGTATTATTATTACATCGGATAGGGATAGAGTCTCTACCATTCTGTGGCTCGAAATAGCAGGGAAATTGTTGTCCTCTGGTTCGCGAATGTTTCCTTTTTCTCTTTTCCCTTACTCGTGAACGATCCAAACATCCATCGGGAACTTCTGAATGGGCCAGGGATTTGCTCGACGGTGACCCCTCCGTGCCACTAGTACTACTAGCCGATTGTGCAGATATCAATTTTTAGCTGCACCCTGGCCCTAACTGAGTCCCCCTCCAGCCTATCGCCGCCCATGCCCAACCCCCCTCATCTCTCCTCCACGAAGACTGACCAGCAGCATTCTCGCATCTCCCGCCGACCCCTGGTCTGCATACCCATTGGGGTCCGCTTTTTGTTTTTGCTTTTTTCTCTGCTATTTTTTTAGAGCGGCTCGCAAAAAGAACCAGGCATGGTCGTGGTTTTTCTTCTTTTTGCGTGCATCCGCCCAATGAGGATCGTCTCCTCAGCCAGATATGCCTGATTATTCGCTCGCCACACACTCATCTATCCCCGCTCAGGGCGGTCGAAGGCTGCAGGCTCTTTCTTCAATCTATTCCTTTTCAGAACAAGCTTGCATCTGATCCACAGGCCAATGTCAAAAATAGAAACAGCCCTTCTGCCGACCGATTATCGCGAGAGACTCTTAAAGTCAGGATGCCCAAGATACATCAAAAGCTTCAGAGCTTCCTTGCTGTACGGCAGCGCGGCCTCGAATTGATTGAATATTCGCTTCTTTTTTCTTCACACTTCCTCGCCTATCTGTCTTATCATCCTTCCTCGCCCTCTATCTACCTCGACAGATTCTTTTCTCCTTCACAAAGCCTGCTGGTCAAGCTTTGCGCCATTCCTTGCTATACAACACCTAATAATACAGCCATTCGAAGCAATCCGATCTCGTCGCCCGCCGAAGTAGTACTACGGCTTGCACTTATCTCTCTAGTTAATTTACAGCTCCTGCTAAGGTCAGGAACTCAGACAAGCAAGCCCTTGTCTTCTTCTTTTGTTGTTGTTGCTAGTTAGTTTTGAGCAGGCTAGCTACAATGTCGTACACAACCATCGCCCCTTTGACAAAGGCACCAACATCACCACCCGCAAACATGGTCTCTTCTGAGTCAAACCCTGCTGGAAAGGTCACCAAAAATTCGCGCAAGGCGACTTCCAAATCCTTAACCAAACCCACCCAAGATTTCTCTCCAAAGATGGGTGAGAAGACACATCGAAGGTCCAGATTAGGTATGTTCAATCGTCGCTTCTTTCTGTTGAACTTGGGAAGACAACTATAGGGGTATGTATCCAAGTAATCTCATGCGCTCTCTTTTATAGGTTGCTTTACCTGTCGTCTTCGAAGAAAGAAGTGTGATGAGGGAAAGATTGTCTGCAAAGCATGCAAAAACCTGAAGTTGAAATGCGAATACAAGCGGCCCATGTGGTGGGGAAACAATGAGCAAAGGCGCATTCAAAAGGAGTTAATCAAGGACATCATCAAGAAGACCAAGATCAATGAGAAGGCGTGCGCAAATGCCAATGCCCGCGCAAGCAGCTGTGCCCACACCGCTCCCAGCCTGTCACATTCTGCTCCAACGATAGACACATTTTCCGATGGTATTCATGGGACTCGCGCCCCTTCTGCCGAATCGCAGTTCTCCATGGAACAAGAGTTCGCCTTCCCGTCGCATGATCCATTCGACCCATTTGGATCCCAGCTGCAGACTCCCCACTTCGAAGCAGCAGCTTTCTATGGGACAGCTCCACCATACGAGGTTGACATCAAGACGGAACGACAATTATATGTCAATGATATCCCAACTCGACGGGATTCTTCTATCTCAACATTCAGCACATTCCAGCCACCATTGTCCCATGCCACCCTGCCAACATTCCCTGGCGATGATTGGGTTCAGGAGGAATACTTCGAAAGCTGCAAGAAATCCTTCAGCTCCCCTGAAACTGGTGATTTCGGTTTCCTCAGCGTGCCACCCGAACCAACTATTGCCGACATGCTCAATCTTGACGACGGTGACCGACATCTTTTGGAACACTTCTTGGAGAACGTCATTCGTCTTCTTTTCCCAGTCCTGGAGACGAGACAACACGGTATCGTTCAATCGCATATCCTACCCGCGCTACAGACCAACAAGCCTTACCTGCACTGCTGTCTGAGCATCGCCGCTATGCATCTCAAGTCCACTGAGTGCAACAATGGCGATCAGTTCGATAATGCCATCCTAAACCACCGCGGAGAGGCAGTGAAGGAACTCAACGAAGCGCTGACTCACGACACTGACAACCTCCAAATCCTCGATGCGATTCTGGCCATGATCCTCTTCCCATGCACTGTTGGCTGCCCGAATGATGTGCTCCTCGATATCCCATGGCACTCCCATTTCCAACCAGTTACAGAACTGATCACTAGGCTTGAACTCCCCCAAATGCTGCTCGACGCTGACAATCACAATATCCCCCCACCCTTCGACATGACACTGGTTGCCTGGATCGATATCCTGGGCTCAACGATGCTTGGCAAGACGCCGCAGTGCGCACACGTCTACCGCACCAAGCTCCTGGCGGGCTCCTCTTCCGGTTTATACGATCTGATGGGCTGCGAGGACCGAGTGATGTACCTGATCTCCGAAATCGCCTGCCTCGACACTCTGAAACTCGAAGGCCGCATCGACGATCTCCTGCTGTGCTCACACATCACCTCCCTTGCCCACCAGCTCGACCACACCGAACCACCCCCTGGATCCCTGGTCTATCCAACCAACGACACAGGCGCCCTCCAAGCATGCCAGCTGTCACAGAACATGACCGCGCTCTTCCGCCTCGCCGCCCGCGTATACCTCTGCAGCCTCGTCCCAGGCTTCCACCGCACCCAAGCAGGAACAATGCGCCTAATCTCCGACTTTGCAGACCTCGTAAACCTCGTCCCCGGCGGACCCGATGGCTTCGATCGCTCTCTCGTCTGGCCATTCCTCATCTGCGGCTCTTTCTCCACCCCCGACAGCGCCTTCCGCTCCATGTTCGAACGCCGCATCGAGATGCTCGGCAACGCGGCCGGAAATGGCAGCTTTGGCCGCATGGTCTGTCTGTTGCGCGAGGTGTGGCGACAGGCTGACGTGGCGGCTGATGTATCGTTCCTCCCGACTCCAGTTTCAGCCGCGACAACCCCAGGCGGAAGCCTGTCTGCTGCCGCGGCCGCGGCCGCCGGCGCTGGGTCAGATGACGAGCGCAACCACCACCACCATCAGAAATCCAAGCTTGCAAACGTCCACTGGCGGGATGTTATGAAGCAGAATAATTGGAATTTCTTGCTGATATAAAATTTCTCCCCTGCGGGGATTTTTAATATCAGCTAGCGCACACCAAGACCAATATAGAAAAAGATAAATTTCCCCTCCTTACCGGGGGGGGGGGGGGGAGGGCTTTTGTTGAAACGAAACGAACGAAACCCCTGCTGCACCCCATCCTCGAACGAATTTGTCCCGAGTTGATCTCGAGATGAAAAAAAAACGTGTTCTCACCCCATTTCGATTTTTTCAAAAAACAATTAGGGGACTGGGAACCCATTATCATGGGCCCAATCCCATTCAATTAATATCCTTAATTTATTTATTTAAGAAGATACCCTCCCGCGCCCACTTGTATCTGCATCTGCTGCACCCCGTTATATACGTCTTCTTCTTCCTCTTTTACCTCTCGTCTTCCATCTTCCATCTTCTAAATCTAAACCTGGCGTTTTCTGTTTCCTTTTTTTTTTTTTTTTTTTTTTTTTTTTTTTTTTTTTTCCCTTCCCCTTTTCAAAAAATTATTTCCCACCTTTCCCACGACACTCACTCACACTTACAGAAAAACTCTTTCGCTTGTACCATTTTTTTTTTCTTGCTATTTCTTTCAAATTTTTTTGGGTTTGCTTGTTTTGCATGGGTAACACTGGGCGGCAACGATTGCATGAAAAATGGCGCAAATGGCGGGTGGAGGAGAAGGGGGTGCTTATTATCTGATTCTTTCTTTCGTGTTATTTAAATTTGTGTGTGCGTGTGTGAGAGACATGGAGGTAGGCGGGTATATGGGGGGAGAAAGCAGGAAGAAATATCAAGAATGAATGGATTAGTGATAGTTAAATAGATAAGTTGGGTTGCTGAACGATGATGATATAAATGATTTTCAGAAAGGGATATATATTATACCATACTCTTTTTATATCACACTTTCCTCTTCTCTTTTCTCTTGCTAAAAGGAAAGATAACTAGTTTTAGTGCATATACTTAATAACTCTGTGAAGAAGGATGATGATAATTCTGTGCCGATTCACCATTTGGATCACTACCTTATCTATCTATTTATTAATCGCGCCCCAGATAATCTGTTTTTCTCTTGTGTTCTCTCCTACATAGTTAGTCACATTATCTGCCATACTTATGTAACATCAACATGTAATGTACATACATCTACTTGCCGAATTGAATAGTAGGGGAGTGGAGGGTAGGGGGACCGAGTATGCTACTCACACCTTACACCTACACAGAAGGTGTGGGGAAGAAAGACGAGGTGACCCCCCAACATCCCAATAACCAGATGGCTGAGTGGATTTTTGAATTTTTGAATAAGTTTATCCTTCCCGCGCGGTGCGCGGAGATGGTGCTGGGTTTTAGGTCATCCGTTGTTTCCGTTGGTTTGGTATTTGGGTTTTTAAAGAAAGGGGGGGGTGGTCTTTTTTTTAATTTTTTTAATTTTTTAATTTTTTAATTTTTTGATTTTTTAATTTTTTAATTTTTTAATTTTTTAATTTTTTAATTTTTTAATTTTTTTTTTTTTATGTTACCCCGTTTTTATGGCGGAAGTTAGTTGCTTGAGGAAGGAAGGAGGGTACGTGTGCATGTACATTACATGTACATCAATAAGATAGTGCATGAACATGGACAAGTTTTTATTAATGCAAGCCTCGTTCTGATGTTATTTTTGGGTGCAGGGGATGGTGGTGGTGGTGGCGGCGATGAGATCCCCAGGTCAGTCAGGCCCTGGGGTGTGTGGGAATTGATGGAATCAGTGGTAGATCTCCGTTGAAACAAAAGAAAGGAAAGAAAGGTTCAGGAGCGGGACAATGCATTATTCCACAACATTCCCTTTTCTGCCACCTGAGGTATCATGTTCCTCCGAATTAATAACAAATTATTCTAACCAATGTTACGTTACGGAGTGCATATGCCATAACTAGAAAATGACCCGTGTTTCCCCCATTGTGAATCAAGTGAAAGTGACATTCCGGTTCATCAAGCCACGGTACACCTCGTCCAGAACATCTCTTTTCCTCTTCTTGTCCTCCATCTCCTCCTCCTCCTCGGCGATCTCATGTTCCTCATCCGCAGTTCTGGAGACCCAGGCCCTAATCGTCCCATCTCCATGGGCAGAAAACAACTCCATCCCTTCGCCGGACCCTCCGCTCCCGCGCCATGCAAGGCCATTTATTCGCGCAGCGCTAAGAGCTGTGGGCTTTCCTCGCATCTTCTGCCGTGAGCTCGGTACGCCGGGCACATTCAGGCGCTTGATAAATGTACCATCCCGAAGCGCGAACATGAAGATCTCCCCCCTATCGTCCTGATCGCCGTAGTTCGGCCATAGTAGTGTATCAAGCACCGCACCTGTGATATCACTGGGTAAAACTAGTGGTGCCCTTTCAGCGAGATGCAGCGAGGAACTATTGCGGATGCGCGGGCCAAAATGGACCAGCGAATTTGCGCCTGTGGAAGCGTCCCAGACTCGAATGCGGGCGTCATGGCCTGAAGTGATTATGTGGGAGCCATTTGATGTCCATCGCACGCCCGTCACTGCCCCGTTATGTGCACGGGCGCCAGGCACAAATGGATTACGGCAGGAGAAGGAAGAGGGCGCATCGTGCGGGGCAATTACGCCGACTGCATCATCCATATCCAGCGAAGCAAGGGCGGAATTATGTCCTCCTCGCCGGACATCAAAAAGGATGACTCGGTTATCATTTGAGGCAGATGCTAGCAGATACTCATGATGCGGTGCCCAGGAAACCGATAGGACAGCGGCACTATGGCCTGGTAAAGCGTGGGTGGCAAGGCCGGAACGAAGGTCTAGTAGCCTTACGGTTTTATCTGAGGTTCCTACAGCAGTCAAAAGTAGCGACGATGGATGCGACGAGAATGAATGTGAGTACGGAGTTGAGTGGAGTGAAAATGTATAGACTGGGACTATCGTAGGAGCTTGAAGCGAAGATAACTTTAGAGTGGTGTCATGGGAAGTAGTTAATATGGTTGACGGAGTCGGGTCGAAGGGATATATCGAAATGGAAGTTAATGCGTGTGTATGTGCCGATGGGTCTGTTGATCTAGAGAGGCGATGAGCCCTTCTGATATAATAGATACGGGACGGGAGTTTTTAGAAAATGGTTTTACTTTGTCACTGAAGCAATGGATTTATAAAGATGGCTTGACTCGGATCCACGAGTCTCCAAATCCCAGAGATGGACAGACGCATCCGCTCCACCAGAGACCATGCTGCATTCGCTTTACTTAGCAAAAGGCCTATCCTAAGCGGCTGCCAGGTTATACATACAAGCGCTTTTCATATTGATCGATTGTCAGAACATTTACGCCTGCTTTATGGGCCCGAAGCTCGTCTTGTTCCTCACCCTTCCAGCCATCCTCCGTCGGTTCACTTTCTCCCTGGTTCAGAGCAGGAGCTGCGGGGTGGCTAGAAAACCTGAGACCCGGCGCAGGCTCAATTGACCGGATGAGGTGGGCATTGTGGGCCACATGGAACGCGGAGGAGCTGACAGATCCTTGGGATCTATTCAACAGATACGAATTCATTCATCAGAGTGTTTTACATTCACGAATATTGCCCCATTTTCACCGTTGAAGAATTTCCGCAAGACTGATACGTTGAGATAGAGTGGATTAACTATATTCAGTGGAGATGATCGGAGAAAATCTCGGCCCGTGGATCAGTCCCAAGCAGAGCTTCTAGTTGAGAACAACGCAATGTGCAACAAAACAAAAGAACACACAAGCGGACCGGCATCAACTTTTATGGTCATGCCTACGATTTGATTCGAGAGATGTGTCTCTGGCGAATTTCTTGCCATGAGTCGCAATGCCCGAAATGATCTACCTCAGGCAGAGGCGGTGGATGAATTACCGCGTCGGATCGGTACAAGGCGACAAGCTAATGTTTACGATGCCGTAGCTGGTATGTAACCCGTCCCGCACTCATTCTCTATCTCTATCTACTAATGGCATTCAGGTCGCGTCTCTTCCTCTGGGTTCCGCCCTCAAACTCTTCTCCATCGGAACTCTGCGCCGTCCGCCTCCTCCGTTCCCGTTACCCCAGAGGAAGTACTCTTCCGGCGTGTCAATGCGCCCGTAATATACGCAGAGGATGACTTCTACTTTGCCGACGAGCGTCTCCCGTCTGACCAACGATTACCGGACTCCGATATGCTGAAGGCGATTCACACCTACGCCTCCGATTTTTATGCCAATGCAACTCTTGATCAGGGCCATGCGGATTGGCAGAGTATGGACGAAACGGCGCTGATTGCATTGGGAATACTGCTTGAAGAAGCCGCCAATGAATCCCTGGGCGCGACCGGTGATATGGTCTTTGTTGAAGGCGAGGAGATAACTGATCCTGAAGAACTTGCTACTCGATCTCCTTCAACGAGCCGCGGTCGCAAGCGGATAACTGTAGGAAGCAGTAGCGCGATTAGCGGAGAAGAATTCGCTAGGCCACGAAGGACTAGGACGAAGAGACGCCGCAGAGCTGATTGAGAGCTTCTATCTGTCGAGCCTGAATGAACGGCTGCTTTATTGGCGATGCATTTCACAGAAAGAAGATGGATCTCCTCGAGAACCGAATCTTTGGGAATGTGTCAACTCCAACCCTAAAACTTATCACAATCGAGGGGCTTTATTGAAGACCTTTGCGTTATTGCCAACCTTTGTTAAATGGAATATTCTTTGTCACTTGCATGGATTTACGCCGGTTGCCCCATGAATTTGCAAGTCCGCTTTTTCATGTTCTATTTCTCCTATTGGTCTACGTGAGCGCAAGCAGGGCGGATAATGATTCAGTTACACAAAGGTCATGCCTTGCATAACCTCCGAGACTGCCAATTGGTTGTAGTGTTTTTTTGCTCCCTTTCTTCTGCAGCTCTAAGAATAGACCATCCATATGCTTCGTTTTGTGTCGTTTGATACCGCCTTGAGAAATTGCCAATCGCGAAGGCTGAGAACCAGGGATAGTCCGTTTTGAACCCAGATATTTATAATCATGTTGCTCCCCATGCCATTATCCAATTTATCCTCAATCTATTTTGCCTCTCTAACTCAGTTCTCCAATACAAGTCTTGTTAAAAGGTTGTGCATCTCCCCTTGCCCTTGCATTGTATTGGCGAAACTCAAACTAACCGTTCTTGTCTATTAGGCTTCTATTCTGAGAAGGACCCGACCAAGTGAGTGCACAAAAACATGTTGTTATCTTGGTTTATTTTTGCGACGATTGTATGTGTTTGGGCAAAACCCGAATCTCTATCGCCTAATAAGGTAGGGCCAAACTACGCTTGCGAGACGGGGGATTGCAATTTTTACCCATACAAATGCCCGAGGCCCTGCTACTGCTCTGCAGTCTTGGGGCGCAGATGCCTTAATCCCTTCAAGGAGTATCCGGTAAGTTCAAAATCAGCCGGAATGGTTACATATGGTTCCCATTGCTCTCAGAGTAGGGAAAAAAACGTTTGCTAATAGTTTTGCTATTTCGTGGACAAGTGAGACGTCACATTATTACAATGATATTTTTCTGTGGTTGGAATCCAAGCGCGTGCGGTCAAAAAACCCTTTCGATAAACTTACGGTGTTCGTATAAATCGATGGCCTTACGACAACGATGATTTCGCTTTTCTGACGTTTATCTTTAACGTGTATCAACTTCTGAAACTAAGAGAGCACTCGGACAAAGTGATGGTGCATCGGGCGTTGGACGCTGGGGATCGGCTAGATAAAACATGCCGTTTTTTTTATTTCAACGTTAAAGGGCGTCCTTCCGGGTTTTGGATTATATTTTCCTCCATTTTGGTGCATTTCCCTGGCCTTGATCCGGTGATTTCACCTATATCTGGTGCTATACTATCGGCATTGATTCTTTTTCCCAATTTCTCTTCGAGTTTCAGCATTATACTGGTTAATGCTCCTGCTTGGGCATCATGCGCTTGTTGATTTGCTATTTATGGCCATTTATTCTCTCTGCCAATCCCATAACCGATCATGTTATTTCCTTCCATGCCTAACCAAAGAGCGAAATATCGTACGAGTGTACGAGTAAATGTTTGAATATCGAAAGGAAAAGTTTCCTCCTTTATGACCACTTTTCTTTAGCTCTTCTGAATTCCCCTACCAATCAAGCTTTTAGAGATAGATGGCTGTTTCTTACATCTTGGGATGAATCTATTTGGCTCCTCATAAACGAGTCCGAAGACAAGACATATATATATATCCACTTAAACTCTTGAGGTTTCGCAATAGCTACTACGCAAGTACTTGATCTGTAGCTGCATGCCTTGAAATAAGATAAATAGAAGCTTGGGCTTCGGAGTGTATAGTTGACTCAGCTGGCCATCAAAGACTCCTTCATTGTTTGCTACTCTGTGGCCTTGCGCCATTCGCGAAAAGGGGGAGGGAGAGAGAGCGTGTCTCAACCTTGCCAAGGAAGATCCCTCCGCTTACTTCCATTCTGAACCCAATCAACTGTATCATTTGCCTAATACTATGACTCTTTCATAAATTTCCAGGCAAATAGTTTCAGTTCTCGAGAGTCCAATATCCAATATTTAAATTATCCCGGAGAAGGCGTCGTCATCTACCGCTTGTATATCCTCTGGACAAAGTTTCGAGGCTCGTATCAACCTGATCACAATCATGGTATTAGATCCTCCAGCTCCCTACAAATCTAAGTATATCGCATTGTACTAGATTTTAGGTTTCCCTTCTATCTCTGCAGCACGGTATCAACTAACCCGCTATCAAAGGCACCCTCAAAATCCCTCCCTCCAGCAGCCAAACAGCAGCTAATTCTCAACCACCTCCGCGCATCACGTACATGCCACACGCTCAAAGATCTTGAGAAATGTCTCCCTTCCGTCGCGTCCATAAACGGCATGCAAGTGAAGGACTACATCCAAGCCCTAACCGACGACGGCAAGTTACACGTCGAGAAGATCGGAAGCGGGAATTGGTACTGGGCATGGGCGGGGGAGGAGCTAAAGGAGAAGGAAAAAGCTAAGCATGGCCTCGTGAAAGAACTGGAGAAACTGAAGAGAGCTGTGGCGGAGCTGGAGGAGAAGAAGAAAGTGGCGCTTAGTGAGATTGGGGGCTGTGAAGGGGATGAGGATAGGGAGAGGGGGGAGTTGATGAGTAGGAAGGTGGATGGGGAGGCGGAGGTAGCATGTTTGAGGGCAGAGGAGGAGAGGTACTTGAATGGGGCCGCTGGTGGCGGGATTGAGATGAAGGAGGCGGATATTAAGAGGTGGAAGGAGGAAGCGGAGATGTGGACGGATAATATTTATGTGCTGGAAGAGTATCTGGGGAAGCTGGCAGGGGGTGATAGAGAGATCGTAGAGTCTGTGAAGAGGGAGTGTTATGGCCAGGAATATGTGGAAGGGGAAGGGTTGAGGGAATTACAATTTTAATGCATGTACGCTTGCTTGCAAAGGTGTGTTGAAGGTTCAATGATCACGCAAATGATATATATAATGGCTGAGTTACTTCGATTTTACGTCATTATTTCCCCCATCGGATAGGTTTAAAGCTAGGGAAAGAAAGTACCAGCTTTTCAACCATTGCCTGGGTATGGAAGTGCCTTGTATCATTGAAATTGCCAAAGCCTCACCTCTCACCAATTCTTCGCTGATTTCAATATAAGAGCTGAGCCACCAGCTAATACCGTTTGAACCAAGCTACCAGATACTGATGTGTTGAATGGCAGGGGGCTAAGTGATCCGGCTACCTTCCTCAGAGCTCAATTTCCCAGCAGTAGATAACAATTGCCGTCCCAATCCTTTGTAATAGCAACTCATGCTATAGCAACCCTGGGGCCAAACTGTAGGATAGTTGAAGGTTGTATTGATAGATCTATCTACAAGAACATAATATAGTGGTGGGTCACGTGATCTAGTGAGATCACTAACCGCAACAGCTGTAACAGCCAACACCCCCTCTCAAGATAACAAGAATCACATACAAAAACACCCAAATCACCAAGATAGTCTGTCAAAACCAAATACAAATGTAAAATTAAACATTCTCAACTTTTACATCTGTAAGATCTAGTAAAATCATGAATTATATAAATATTATAGTGTTTAAGAGTTTAATGAGTTTATTCACTATTATCTGAGTAGTGAAAATGTATTCTAAATTAATAGCTCTCTGATTTAACTGTCAATATGAAAAATGAAAATATGTATTAATATGCTTACTTCAGACTGTAATAACTGTTATCTGTATAAGATTTATAATACTTTTATTATCAGTGATAGACTGACTGTGTGACTGTGTCTGAAATTAGAATCAAACTTTACAGTTATTATATTATCTAAAAGTATTATTTCTGATCATGATTTGTGTTTATTACATTAATCTCAAATCATGTTATTTCAAATATTAAAGATTTCAGATTTACTTTTCAAATAAAAATCTAGTCTTAAATAAAGAATATGTTTAAATTCTTAGTTATATATTCATTCTAATCTTATTATTAAGAATAATATTAAATAAGATTATGAAATTACTTCTCACTTACATAATATTATAACATAGTGCTCATTTATTGAAAATTCAATAGAGAATATTATCAAATATTATTACTTTTCTAAACATAGATTATAATTCATATAATTTTAATTATAAAAAAAATATGAAATATAAAAAATAAAAATAAAAAACAAAAAATAAAATAAAAATAAGAAAAAATCAGAATGAATAAAAAAAAAGAGAAAGAAAAAAAAAGAAAAGAAAAGAAAAAGAAAAAAATAAAAAATAAAAATAAAAAAAATCAAGATTACAGAGCTGTAGTACTTTTAAAATACTTACTCTTCAGAGTCTTTATAATATTCATTATTAATTATATATCTCTCACAGTGAGAGTAATACAGCTGTAATAAGTTATTATCTTAATATTATCTAATAAATAATCAGTATATATCTGTATAAATGTGAATATTTAGAAAACATACACTTAAAAAGTATGATTAGAGTGAACTCTGCTATCACTTGAATAATATCAAGAGTAGAATACTGAAATCAATGATTTCTCTCATTAATTTCATGAATAAGATAGATGAAGATAATTTTAAGAAATATAAGATCTTCTAACTTCTGATAAAAACAGATCTCACAGAGAGACTCTATTTTTATAATATCAGAGACTGAGTGTTATTAAAAAGTATTACTTTCATATAATATATATACACTTACTGTGATGATTTATTCTCTGTATATATAACTGAGAATTGTAACTTTCTTATACTGCATGACTCTCTCTGAGATGCTGACACTGATTTGTAACTTATACAGTCTCTCAGTTCAGTATATACTGTATGTATACAGTTCTGTGTACTGAGGCTGTATTAATCATTATAATCTGATATAATACTTACTTTTCACAGATTATATTTCATTTGAGAGAAGAGAAAGAAAAGACACAACTATGATTTTATTAAGAAGAAATGAATAATTAGTAATATTAAATATAATTTAATTCTTCTGTATTTAAAATTTGATTAGTCTATACTCTTCAATTTGAGAGTTTCTAAGAGTGTTTTAATAGTTTTCATATCAGCTTGAACTTAGTGATGAGTTAAAGAAGAAGAGAAAAGAGAGAAGAAAGAAATAAGAATAACTTATCTTTATAATATAAAAACAGAGAATCACTGTAATTATTCTCTCTAGTAACAAAGATCTGTTTTCTGCATGTATCTCTGATATAGATTATATGATAAATGTATACAAAGAATATCAATAGTGTATGTATTAAATGAAGATAATAAGAACTGTCAAGGCAGAAAGACTATTGAACAACATAATCAGACTATCAAATACAGAGAGGGGTCTATTCTTCCAGGCTATGAGACAGTTATATATAGCCTGTATTACATCAGTAGCTGATTATGAAGTTCAAGTTTGATGAAATAATCAAGGAAATTTCACTGAACTCTTTCAAAGTCTGTAAAACAGAGTCTTGAGAAGAATTCTGAGAGCATTTAAATCATCTCCTATTAAAGCAATGAAAATTGAAGCTTCAATTTCTCCTCCTACTATTAGATTTGAAAAGGCCTGTATGAACTATGCTCTGAGAGTTGTAAAGATGAGCTCAAATCATATAATCAGAGAAAGAGTCTCTTCTTCATTTCCATCAATTAACTCTGAAAATGAACTGGATTGGAATAGATTTCTTGATTGAAATGAAAATAATTCTTCAAAGAAAATGCCTTCTCAACTGTACAGACTATGCTCTCTGATTAAAAATCAATTTTCTTCTTTAAATGTTGAAAAAGTTGATCATGAGAAGTTATCTCCCTGGAGAAAAAAGCTTGAATCTCTTATAGACTTACAAATAAGTGAACTATCAAAAGAGAAAGAATATGAACAGCATTTGAAGAGAATTTCTACAATCAATATAAAAGACTCTATTCTGATTTATTCAGATGGCTCAAAAAATGAGAACTTGAATAGATTAGGCGCAGGCATTGCTTATACTGAAGATAATATTAATTTTATCTCAGATTTCTGGAATCTAGGCTCTGAATGTGAAGTCTTTGATGCTGAACTATTTGCAATAGTGAAAGCTTTCAAACTCATTGAAATAAAATCTCATAAAAGAGGAAATTGTTTGAAAGAGGCATGAATATTCTCTGATAGTCAAGCTGCTTTAAAAAGACTTAGAAATAGTCAGATTCATAATAATCAAATGAATCTTGAACTGATCTTAAACTCTGTTTTAAAAATTCAAAAGAGAAGAACATCAAAGCTGAGAATTCATCTGCACTGGGTTCCTGCTCATATGAATATTCATGGCAATGAATTGGCTGATTCAGCTGTAAAAAAGAGTGCAGAATTAAGCAGATCTATTCAAAAAATTGTGTCCTGGTCTTTTATAAAGAGAAAAATAAAAGAATCTTGTTTAGACAAGTGGAATGAAAGCTGGCAGAAACAAAAGAAGAGTATACATTATTCAAGATTTGAAACAAAACCCAAGTGGAAATCTTGTTCAATTAAATGTAAAAAGAAAATATTCTCATCTATAATACAGCTGAAACTAGGACATGGCTATTTCAAATCTTATATACAAAGATTTGATGATAGATTTGACTCAATAGAATGCTCATTCTGTAATACAAATGAGAATCCTGAGCATATTATAATGCACTGTGCATTATACAATAGTCTCAGAGCCAGATTGAAAGAGAAGTATGATCTAAATCAATTAAATATGAGATTCTTATTCTCAACTGAGACAGAAATTAAATACTTAATAGACTTTCTATCAGAAACTCAAGCAGCTACAAGAAAATGACTAAATTCAGAATTATCTGAATATGAAGAGGAGGAAATCAATCAGATATAGTCTGTTAAAACAGCTATACACTCTCTTTTAAGAATTTGTTTTATTATAGTCTCTCTTTACTTTTTCTTTTTCTGTATCTTTTTCTTTCAATTTCTTTCTATCTATCTATTTAATGTGTCTATCTTTGAGACTGTGTTCTTTCTCTCTTTTCTTTTGTCATGATATTGTCAAATGATTTCAAAGTATCAAAAGATGTTAAAACACTGCAATTTGTAAACAGTTTTTGTATTCTGAGCTGGAATTTTCTGATTTTGCATATCTGAAATTGATGAATGTACAATAGTTAACTTTACAGACATAGAAAAAACCCTGAGAACTAAAGTTCTCAGGTAGATGTCATAGTCTCTGACTGCATACATCTATAATTGAAGAATAATAATAATAATAATAATAATAAATGAAGATAATATTACTATACAATACTGTAGCTGTTTCTGTATATCTCTGAAAGCTGTTAATAGTTTCTTTATCTCTTTATATTTAATAAGTTAATAATATATTCTGATGCACTCTCTCTTTTATCATTATTATTATCATCATCATCATTATTATCATTACTATTATTATTATTATTATTATTATCATTATTATTATTATCATTATCATTATTATTATTATATCATTGCTTGTCTTTATCTTCTTCTCAATACTTATTAAAATCAATTATGTCATTTCTCTTCAAATATTCTGCGGTTCTGCGGATCATCAAGACACGTGAGCACTGTCACAGATTGAAGAGAGAGAAGAAGAAGGCATTCAAGCACAGAGAGACAGATTATAAGATATATTATAATATCTTAAAGAGGCTCTGTAAGAGAGTAGAATAGTAATAATTTTAAGTAATACTTGTAATAAATTTAGACTGAACTAAGTATAGAAATAATACAGATGACATCATCTGTGAGAGATTGAAAAAGAAGACAGTGAAGAGTCTTATACAGTAGTAATGAAATCAGAAGAAGTTCTGAGAATGATTTGAGATTAAGATAAAGAGAGAGAGAAAGAAGAAGAGTATTACTGTAAATAAGCAGCAGTAGAAGAAGATTGAAAAGGTATTAAAGTAGAAGACAAAGAAGTCAAAACTGATAAGTTTTTTATTAAGAGATAACAATTTTTGATAACACTTCTATTCTCTAATTAATTAGCAGAAGCTGGCAGAGAAGAAGAGAATTGAGATCTTATTCAGATCTTGAATGTACTTCATAATTCAGAATATTGAGAAGACAGCTCTACTCTCTGAGCATGTCAATCTGCTTACTACTGAAATGAAACCTGAGACAGCAGATCAGAAAATGCAGGATTCTAAGACACAGATTGATCTGACTGAGAGAGAGCAGTGAGAACTCTTCTCTGAGAAGGCAGCAGAGAGAGATTTTGAAATAATTATTATCTCAGATGAGAAGAAGAAGAAGAAGAATAAGAATAAGAAGTGAATTATAAAGAATAATAAGAAGAATAAGAAAGAGAAGAAAGATAATAAATAGAAAAAGTTTTTTTCTTTTTATATTAGTTAGTTATAAGTTTGTAACTATTAGTTAATAATTGAAATTAATTTTAAGTTTTCAAAAATTATTGTATAAGTTGTAATCAATTATCAATGTCAGAAATAATATATATATATATATTCAACTATCATATCATGCCACTATAATGTATAAGTATCAACATTT